TAAAACTTGAAGCGAAATTAACTTATTTTAAATCTCACCGTCACCCCACATGTCTTCTCACCCTGTAAGCTCATTTTATGAAAGTGGAATAACCAAGAAACATTGAAGAACAAAATGTGGGAACCAGCAGGTTAAAGATAGCAGACCAAATTGTAAAGTTGGTTTCTACTTTAATAAGTAGGAGCTGATTTCAACAGTTCCCCCAGCGCCTTTACATACAATTTTAAATGAAAAGTTAATTTGTTATTTATGTTTATGAATACTGTTATTACCTTATCTGCTTATCACCTTTGTTTTACCTTTTGCATACGCCATGAAGGAAGCAGGTTAAACTATTAATATAATGTAATGTGATTTTGACATTAAAATTATAAAAGACACATGCACACAAATATATTTAGTTCTTTTTTTTTAAAGCCGTGATTTCATTTCTTTAAAAAGTAAAATAACATAGGGTATGTAGAGTTTTTGAATATTTAAGCCATGAAGCACTAATCTAAATAAGTCCCCAGATATGAGTGGTATGCACAGATTTTAAAAGCTCAAATAATGTTAGTAAAATATTTGTTTTCCTGACAGACATTTCAAATTGAATTATAATGGAAGAGGTAGAATCTATGACTTCTTTCAAGCTATGCCAAAGAGAACGTATCAGTGTTGGTGGTTCCTGGGAACAGATAGAGGGATGACCCAATAATAAACCTAGATTTTTGTTTTCTCTTCAAAAGTTTATTTACATGTGGTCATACCTAGGCCTTTAGGAAATTATTATTTTTTATTGATATATACATCTGTGGCAACTATTCAATTGTTTCGAATTATCAGTGAACAAAGTTTAGTCATTTGATGTGTGCTTCGTAACTACTGCCTTATAAATCCATTATACTGAACACCTGGGAGCCTTAATGTTTAAATTCCACTAGGTTCATATCCAAAACAAAACAAAAACCTGTTGCCATCAAGTCTATTCCGACTCATAGCGACCCTATAGGACAGGGTAGAACTGCCATGTGGGGTTTCCAAGGAACGACTGGTGGATTTGAACTGCCAACTTTTCGGTTAGCAACCAAGTTCTTAATCGGTGTGCAACTAGGGCTCCATGCTCATATATATGTGTTAAATTAGCTTAAACTAATTCAGATTCTGTGAAGACTCTTTACTTAGGTGAAAATAATCTTTGATTCATATCCATAGTAAAAGCACTAAGGAGATTGGGGATTCAAATACCTTATGAAATATGTGTGTATTTCAGGACATCTGCCCATGTATAAAGGTTCCTGGGTGGTACAAACAGTTTGTTATGGACTAATAACCTCAAGATTGGTAGTTTGAACCTACTCAGTGGAGAAAGGGAAGAAAGGCCTGGCAATCTGCTTCCCCAAAGATTACAGCCAAGAAAACCCTATGGAGCAGTTCTACTCTGTTACACATGGGATTGCCATGAGTCAGAATCAACTTAATGGCAGGAGTTTTGGTTGGTTGGTTTGTTTTCCACATCTGTAGGCTAAAATACAAATATCTATGTATAAAAGTATCTGTAAGTAATAACATTTAACTATTTTTAAAATAAAGTATTTATTCTGTGAATCTTTAAAATACAAATTTTGTTTCCCTCTGTATTAAGTTCTACCTTCTCCCTTTATTTGCCAGCTGTTTTTCACAGATTTTCTAAAATCCTAGTGCTAACAGTTTACCAAAGCATATAGAGAAAATAGTATTTAAGTTGTGGTTACTTCATTCTGTTAATACAGTGAACAATATCTTATACGTTCATTTGTTTACAGTGACTCTTTAACTTGAATCTCGGGCTACATTAAAATTCTTGTTCATCTTAGATTATACTGGAGTTGATTATAATCCTTTCTCTTGTTCTCTCATATTTCATTACTTCTTCATTCCATAATAACTCTAAAATTGTCTCTCAAAGAGAAAAACAGCAAAGTATGGGAGCAGCATTTTTATCTTTTATGATGATAACTTCTCAATCAGTGATTTTGGAACTGAGGCTTTACAACTTATTGGTTGGTCCTGAAGTCAATTTGAAGGGTCATGACCGGCCTTTATATTAATAAACTAATAAGAGAGACACTGTCAGAGTGCTGCATAGGTAGTGAAGTTTTTCTGCTAAACTTTTCTTTTGATGTGTGTGTGTGTGTGTCTGTGTAAGTGTGTGTGTGTGTGTGTGTGTAAGTGTGCCCTGGGTTATATGAAAAATATGTTCCTACTATATGAGCCCTAATCAGAAGAGTCCAGTCCAATGATAAAGTCATAGTAACTTACCTTGGTCATGTCCACAAGCACATTCATGAAAACATATCTGTTCTTTCTCACAATAACTTTGTTCAAAGCAGGCAATAACACACCGTAAATAAAGATCAAGAGACCTCAGTCTCTGCATTCTTGCTGTCAGACAGATTGTTAATGGATGAGTGTCTGCAATACCTGGCACCAGCTTTGCCCCTGAGAGTGTAGACACAGTGTACTCAGCTGTGGACACTCCGCGGGGGACAGGAGGACCGGAAGAGCGAGGTGCCCTACAAGCCACTGGATTCCCTCGGCTCAGGAATCCTCCCAGCATCCTCTTAGCGTCAGAATTACGTCATGAACGTGGACAAGACGGCTTTTCCCAACTTCCACCTCCCCCTTTGAGCTGCATTTTTCCCTTGTTCCATGAACAAAAATATAGAAAAAAAAAAATTGGATAATTTTTAAAAATATATACCAACTCCTGTAGTACTTTCTCATTGTTCACTTACTAAGCTCTGTGTCTCCTAACCGTTCTTTCTCAATATTACATTTTCCATTTCCTCAAATCCTCAACAATTCTGCTGCTTCGAGGCGCCTTCTTGGACTAATTGGAAGAAGGTGGGGGTGGGCACCGCTCTCTTTATTCTCTTAGAGACATAAATCACTGTTTTTACTGCACAAAGCCCGTGGCTTTCCATCTATAATACGTGTTTTATTTTTTAAATGTCTGGCTTTCCTTTTGTCGTGAATACCTCACTCTTTCTCATCACTGTCGAGCTTACATTAGCTGCTGCAGAGGACAGAAATCGCCTGTAATTCACTCCTCAGGACATTTTGGACAGTGTCGTACACAAAACCGTGCTTTAAAGAATGCATGTAATGATCATTGTATTTAAATAGGAAACAATCACTGTTGTCTCTCAGTTTTGCACATCTCATTTTCCCCCCAAAATGACATTTGTTGATATTTTTAAAGTAGGATTTTGGGTACCTTCGCGTTCCTGGATGAGAGTTTTCTTCTAACCACTTGTACAAACGTGAACAGTAGAAATGAGTACTGTGTCCTTTTTGCTTTTCACTGGCTCGCTCAGAAATCCTTACTATCCTGCCTTCTTTGGAAGGCCAACGTGATCGTGCCTTCGAGTCTTTCTCCTCTCGGAGCCTTCTCTATTTCTCTCCGTGAACGTCTGGAGAGACGAATGCCCTTGCGCTCACTCGACCGCCAGGTGGTCTCCATCCACGGCTCCCAACACCCTTCTCCCTCACAAAGACAGATCCCACCACGCTGGCTCATCGATGGCCGTCCTTGCTGCGGGGATGGGAAACACTCGCGGCACAACGCAGGGGCGGTGGCTATCCTGCCGCTCCATAGGGAAGTGTTTTCACCTGCCTCACAGGCCATGTGTTCACCTGGGGCAGGCTTAGGTATTCTGTGAAGCAACTAAAACGCGTCTTCCGCCTACCCTCCACTCACGCTCCACTTCCCCTTCCGGCCTCGCCTTTGTTCCCTGCCCTCTGGCCTCAGTGTAACTGCTGTGTGTGTGGCTGCTTCCCAAATCCCTGAGGCTCTGCATGCCAGCACCCCAGCACCAGGCTTTCTCTCATTATCTTTCTCTAACTCTTCCTGTTCTGCTTTCGGTCTAGAGCTGCAAAATAAACAACTGGGATAATGTGGCACTGGGTCAGTGTGTGCCCTTTTCACGTATCATATTTGCATTTTTACAGAGATCTTTCTGGAGATAGTGGAATTTTTTGGAAATAGGACATTAGAGGATGGAAGTTTTGATCAGGAGCCTGCCTTCTGTCTTTCATTATTTTCTTTTTTTATGGATTCCACAGAGGTTTTTCTGTGACCCTCAGTTGACTGACTCCATGTGTCTGTCCACCTGTTCTTCCTATGCTTAGGATCACGATTCCTGTATGTTTATAAACCAATATATTTCCCCCTTATTTTTGGAGTGAGGGGGAAAAAAGCTTGTCAATTTCAATAAGTAACTAGTTTGGTTTTAAAAAGTAAACAACTGATTTGCCTTATTCTTTCGCTGAATTGTATGTAACACCCAATATTGATGCAGCACTTTTTAAAAACGAGATACTTTACTTGTATTATTTTATTTCACCCTCAGAGTAGTCATACCAGGTAGGTCATAGTATTATGCCCATTTTATGGATGAGGAAACTGAGGCCATTGAGGTTAATCAATAAATCCATGTAGCTAGGAGTGATGAAGCTGGTTTTGATATAGGTAATCTGCCAAACCATTCTGCTCAATCAAAGCAACCAAGTCAATTAAAGATAAGGATACACACTATTCCTTGGTTTGCAAATGCATACTAACTCTGAAAAATGAGCACTAACCAAAGGTAGCCTGACTTTATTCCAGAGAGTGATACAGAATGCCAATTTCATCTTTCCTTTCTTTTTTCCTTCCCTCCATCCTTCCTTCCTCCCTCCTTCCCTCTCTCTCTCTCTTTCTTGAGCCCTTAGAGGCCGACAAACAGTATTTGTTGGCTGACACTCTGGTTTTCATTCTCAGAATCAAACAGAACTGTATGAGTTACTTTCTCCCTTCTTTCTAAATTATGTAATTCCACAGATGTCTGTTAATTCCACCAGGAAGTGTGAGACATAGGAATGGAAAGAAAAAGAAGAACTCCTTAAGGAGTTCGCCTTTAAAGAGAGAAAGGCTGATAGGCTATTCAGAGCACATTGCCCTCTGTACAGACCTGTGCCTTGTCTTGTCTTTGCAACAGGTACCATTTCTGTCAACACGCTGCGCACACCTTATACCGCTCCTGGCGAGAGTGAGATCCTGGACCTGGACGATGAGCTATACCTCGGGGGGTTGCCAGAAAATAAGGCCGGCCTCGTCTTTCCCACTGAGGTGTGGACTGCGCTGCTCAACTATGGCTACGTGGGCTGCATCCGGGATTTGTTCATTGACGGCCAGAGCAAAGACATCCGGCAAATGGCTGAAATTCAAAGTACTGCTGGAGTGAAGCCCTCCTGCTCAAGGGAGACAGCAAAACCGTGCCTTAGCAACCCCTGCAAAAACAATGGCATTTGCAGGGACGGGTGGAACAGATATGTCTGTGATTGTTCCGGAACAGGCTATCTTGGCAGGTCCTGCGAGAGAGGTAAGATTCCAAAAAACCCAGCAGCTGACTCCCTTGAGATGAAAAGTGTATTAAATGTTGACCTCAAACCTACACTGGCCACTGAAACGTAACGTGGACTTGGCTGAAATAAATTTTCTGCAAGCTCAGTAGCCATAACCGACATGTTATTAACAAGCTCTTAACGATTTTCAAAGGAAGACACAGCTATTTAAGTATATTGCAGGCATAGGAATTTGGGGCTTTTATATCCTCTAGGGTGTGAGCCTAAAAGGTACTATGGGCAATAACTGCTATCTCGTTTGGCCAGTTTTTATCCCCAGGACATTGAAAAATGAAAGAGGCATGAATTAGACGTATTTATGGCCTCTAGAGCAACTGCTGATGTTAAGAAGGGGCATTTGAGGCAAGCTAAGCTGAAAGTTGCAACTTCCCCGGCACATTGTTTGAGAGTTTAAGTTAGCCTGCTCATTTCACTTCACTTAACTTACTCAAGGGCTTCCTGGGTGATGCCCACATGAATGCGCTTGGCTGCTAACCAAAAGGTGGGAGGTTGGAGTCCACAGAGAGGCACCTCGGAAGAAAGATCTGGCGCTCTACTTCTGAAACATCAGCCATTGAAAACCCTGTGGAGCACAGTTCTACTCTGACACACATGGGGTCGCTGTGAGTTGGAATCTCCTGGATGGCAGCTGATGGTTTTAACTTACCCATGAGGCCATATCCTCTCTGGAAAGTAAGCTGACTTTAAACCATGTGAGTTGTGCAACACTGTGATAAGTGTGCCCTAACTCAAAGGTACTTACCTCTGGCTACCTGGTTGCAGGGGATTTATTTACCTATTCGATATTAAGGCTTAGTTGTGCCTGTTGCAGTTCTGAGCAGTTGCCCCCTTTCCCTCTCAGAAGGAGAGGAGTAACAGTTGAAGAAAGAATGAAGGGCGAGACCTTCCACAGCTGATCTGAGGGCCAGGCTAAATGATGAAATAGCAGAACGAATAGTTCTGAGCTTACGCTTACATTGACCCAAGTGTTTCAGATAAATGTCTTCATCACTACACCAGTTGTCACTCATTTTCAACAGCAGAACTAAAAAGCAATACCAAAAAATATTGATGAGTTGTCCCACCGTCCTTTCATGCTCCAAATAATACCGCTGTATTAGATATTTAGCCTAAATGTACCTGGCATCTATTTCTTTAAGCCATGTACACTCTTTTTTTTTCCCTTCTTTCATGAAATAGTTTAATTCTTTTCAGCTAACACTTGCGCAAGAAAAAGTAGCTATTCTGCAGAACTCAGAGTTGAATTGTGACTCTGACTATCTTTACAAGGAGACACATCAGCTTATTGGTCCTATTACTAACATTAATTGGTATAAATAATAATAAGTTAATAACCTAATAATGATCTCCAGTTACCTACCAAAAATGTTATTGCTGTTCTGTGCTATACAGTGAGACAGATCAATAGATGTGTATTTTATCACATAGGTTAGTTGTTCGTTTTGCTTATGATTACGCCAAATTGCAGTTTCTGTGAATTGTCACTGTCGTTAGGTGTTGTCAGGTTGTTTTTGACCATGGTGACTCCATGTGACAGAGTGGAACTGTCCTGTAGGGTTTTCTTGGCTGTAATCTTTACTAAGTAGACTGCCAGGTGTTTGTCCCATGGAGCCAATGGGTGGGTTTGAACCACCGACTTTTCGGATAGCAGCCGAGCAGTTAACCACTTACACCACCAGGGCTCCTTTGAATTGTCATTAGAGATAAGCTATTCCTGTGCAGGCTGGTCTTGTTTGGCATATATTCTCTCTAAATTCCATCCTCTCATTCCCCCCCGCCCCCAATTTTAGATTATATGGTTGTTTGGTTTGATGTTCAGAATTGCCAAGAGGGGCAAAAAAAAGTGACAAAGTTACAGGAAATACTACAGTTAGGCATAATATGAGATTAGCAAACGGGCATGATTTAAGATTTTGTTTTAAATTTAATCACCCAGAGAGCTGCCAGTGCTTCTGATGCCTCCTGGTTAAGGGAAGCTTGAAAAGGGTGTAACGGAGCCGTCGCAGGAATTACAAAACCCTTCCGCTCCATACGCATGGTGTACCACCCTGTGGCAACATTCCGCTACTACATATGGCAGAAATAAAAATAGAAATTGGAGAGCTTTCTGAGCCAGAATGGGGGAAAGGGAATATTTATATATTGCAGTAATTAGAAGGAGGGCGGCAAGCATATGCAGATTCGCAAATGCGAATTTAATAGCAAACTTCATCACTGGGATCCGGCAGACATTTTTATCTGACAGGTGGCTGTAAATTTCCACGGATTTCTTTGTCTCCGGGTTGGTTTTTATGTGGAGGAGAAAATGGTCATTGTTGTGTGGCTCTTGTTTCTGGATTACCCCACAGTATTGTGGGCCATCTTTACTTTTCAGAATTAATTTTGTTGCGCCCATGACAGTGCCTCCTGAGAATAAGGGTGATGTGGGACTGTAGTCACGCTCAGTAACACAGAATTTGGCTTCTTACCACTTCCCAGCTGTGCCCTAGTTCAGTCAGCACAAGATCTCGCCCAACCCCTGGGGCCCCAATTCGAAAGAAGGGGCTTTGGCAGTGGAGGTTCTTCACGTACGCGCTGATCCCAGAAGGCTAGTAGTCACAGAAGAACTGACTGATGTTCTTGAAATTAAAATAAAAAAGGAGGAGGGAGCATGCATAAAGCTTACTATTTTACTATTATTGAACACTAATTGGTAAGTTATAAAGTTATAATTATTCAAAGTAATTTAAAAAATATGTTCAAGTCTTGGACAGTTCAGCCTGGGAAATGATGCTGTAATCGCATTATAGGAAATCATTCTGCATTAAGTAAGCCAAGGGGGTTATAAGAAAGAACAGAATTTTTGCTGACAGGCTAATATTCGCCGGGGAAACAGTATTTTGCTTTATGTGTATTGATCCTATAAGGAAGAGTAATACAGAAATACTGTTCCATTGGACATAAATTAAATTCAGCACCTTTTCTCCTTTTTTTTTTCTTTTTCCAATTTTTGTTTTTGTGATATAAGACTGAGATTTTAGTTTGATAGAAATTATTCTTGTTTATATGTAAAATGAGAGCATGGCTATAATCAGAGGTCTACTTTTTGCTTGTTTATTAAAATTCAAACAGATGGGGGGACAGATATCAGAGCAATATAATTTGGCTCTGTCTCGGATTGTCATCGTTGATCACAACATGTGACTGCCTTCTGGTAAAACCAGGCGCAGGTGTACACTTTAGGCTTCACCAGGGAACTCTGCCCAAAAGCAGATTTATCAAACTTAACGGCAAGCGAAAAGGAGATATGGAAGACAAAGTTGAAACTGTTTTTCTTCCCCACTGGGAAACACGGTATTGAAATTAGCCTTTTAAAAGAATTCTTTTGTGTTCAAATGATAAAGTAATTTTACAAAGGTTAAAGGATGCTGTCAAGTAGCATCATCTTCAAATGTCAGAGCGATGTTTACCATTTATTTGGCAACTCCAGACAACAACTTGCACATTTTCCATTTCTTGTCTAACTAAACATTAATTATGAGGAATCATTTAGGCTTCCATTCCAAGTTTATCAACAAGTTATTTTCACACAGAGAATTGTTTAAAATGGCACTCAGAGGCACTTGAGTTTTATTACTTCACTATGTTTTCTCATTCCTGCAGCTTTTTGGAGAATGTCAAAGTTCAATGATCCTGCTTAGTTTTCTACTTCAAATTGTATTTCATACTGTGTAATCCATTGTCAGTCATCTGTATTCCCAAATGATGAACCAACTAGTTAGTGTACACTCAAACTAAGCTACTTTTCATGGAATAATATGAGATGATATTTTTCTTGATTATTGAATAACAAAGATGGGTTTTACATGGAAACAAAACGAGAAAACCAATAATGTTGTAGCCCTTTTATCCGTGTGACACCAAATTAAATGAACAGTTGATAATGGCTTTTAAACTTTATTCAGGTATTTGTGCTTTATAAATACTCATGATTGGCTATAGTTTAGGAAAAGAAAAAATAAAGACCAAATTACTTTTAAGATTTAAAACTTTTTTTCCTAGAATTCACTACAACTTTACAATCATGCTTAATTGTTTATTGAGGATTTCCTCACTAACCTCTGTTCTTCAGGATATGGCCTTCCTTCAGAAACTTCTTATCTAGTTGAAAAAAAAATTGCACATATACCCACAAGAAATAGTTAAGACAAAGGAACAGATAAGGATAGAAGACTATTTCATGTAACTTATGACTGATATAGTCCTTCACTTAATGAATATTGATAAGGCCCTTACTATGTTCCAGATCCTATTTCAGACTCTGGAATTCTGTGGTTAGAAAAACTATGTCAGCATTTCTCGAACAAAAGAAATTCGACGGAAATTTGCATATGCTAATGTAAAAGATGCTAAGGTGATCCAACAGAATGCAGAAATTATCAGACATTATCATTAACATCACACACAAGTAAAATTTTGCTGAAGATCATTCAAAAGCGTTTGCAGCAGTACATCTACAGGGAACTGCCAGTAGTTCAAGCTGGGTTCAGAAGAGGACATAGAATGAGGGATATCATTGCTGATGTCAGATGGATGTTGGCTAAAAGCAGAGAATACCAGAAAGATGTTTACTTGTATTTTATTGACTATGCAAAAGCATTCAACTGTGTGGATCATAACAAATTATGGATAACATTGTGAAGAATGGGAATTCCAAAACACTTAATTGTGCTCATGAGGAACCTGTACATAGACCAAGAGGCAGTCTTTGAACATAACAAGGGGATACTGCGTGGTTTAAAATCAGGAAAGATGTGCGTCAGGGTTATATCCTTTCACCATACTTATTCAGTCTGTATGCTGAGCAAATAATTCACGAAGCCGACTTATATGAAGAGTGGCATCAGGAATGGAGAAAGACTCATTAACAACCTGTGATATGCAGATGACACAACCTTGCTTGCTGAAAGTGAAGAGGACTTGAAGCACTTACTGATGAAGGTCAGAGATTACAGCCTTTACTTTGGATTACACTTTAACATAAGAAAACAAAAATCCTCACAACTGGACCAATAAGCAACATCATGATAAATGGAGAAAAGATTGAAGTTGTCAAGGATTTCATTTTACTCGGATCCACAGTCATCACCCGGGGAAACAGCAGTCAAGAAATCAAACGACTTATTGCATGGGGCAAATCTATTGCAAAAGACCTCTTTAAAGTGTTAAAAACAAAGATGTCACTCTGAGGACTAAGGTGTGCCTGACCCAAGCCATGGTGTTTTTAATCGCCTTATATGCGTGCAGAAGCTGGACAATGAATAAAGAAAACCAAAGAAGAATTGATGCCCTTGAATTATGGTGTTGGCAAAGAATATTGTATATACCATGGACTGCCAGAAGAACGAACAAGTCTGTCTTGGAAGAAATACAACCAGAGTGCTCTTTGGAATGGAGGATGGCGAGACTTCCTCTCACATACTTTGGACCTGTTATCAGGAGGGACCAGTCCCTGGAGAAGGGCATCATGCTTGATAAAGTTGAGGGTCAGTGAAAAAGAGGAAGACCCTCAATGAGATGGATTGACACAGTGGGTGCAACAATGGGCTCAAGCATAACAATGATTGAGAGGATGGCGCAGAACCGGGCAGTGTTTTGTTCTGTTGTACATCGGGTCACTGTGTGTCAGAACCAACTTGACAGCACCTAACAACAACAACGGCCCATTTTTCTTCAGTGCAAACATGAGAATTAGGTCACGGGAACCTCAGTCATTCTTTGCTTAGAAACAATGACCATACGTTTGCTATTAGTCTCTCTTCCCACAAAATAGTGTGGCATGGTGCCCAGGTAGGGGGTAAAAGATTTACCTAAACTTTTTTGCACTAGTGGGGATTTAGAATTTTGGGGGACCAAGGAAAATATTTTATAAAAGTATATTCATTGTCATATTTTTATGTTTGGAAAATTAAAGAATAATTTCCAACAACACAATAGGAGATAGCGGATGACATGGGCCTATTCATCACCACCCCAAGCTCAGATATGCTGTGTGAGGCAAGGAGAATCCATAGGAAAGATGCTTTCCTGCTTCCAGTGGTCAGACAGTTCTAACTGACAATGAACTTAACTTTGTTCCAATGGTGGAAAGATAAATACATCCTTAGGAACAACAGCAGAGCTTTATACATAAAAAAAGAAGAAGACTGAAAACTGATCAGTCTAAAATTTCTCAGCAATTATATTAAATGTAGCTCTATAATAAAATCACTATTTTAAATATTATGTAAACTTTATACTGAGCTGATTAGTTTTTTTTTTTACTCTTTAACCTGTTTTAAAGTTATGTCAGTAGAAGTTAGAATGTAGTTTTGGATTTTGGTCAGATGAACATTTATGGGTGTGTGTGTGTGTTTTTTTTTTTTTAAACACATAAAACCAGTTTGTGGGTAAGGGAGAATCAGATCCATTCAAAATATTTTATTTATTTATATTTTTTG